TTTCTTCCTAGGGCAAATTACTGACACAAACGCTGCAGAGCGGAAGCCCGTCGATCCTCCACCGATTGTCCAACTTCGCGTGAGAGAGGAGGGCACTTACCTTGCACAGTATGTGGTCCCAACCTTGCCGCGTTTATTAGCAGGGCCTTGTTCATACTGACTAGGAGGGCTAGGCACTACCTGCAAAGTCCTTATTATTTTATGTGCTGTAGCTTGTGGGATGCAACGGAAGATCAAGCGGTCCCAGTTCCGCCGTCGACTGCACTAGCAGGAACCTTGGTCTCTTCTCTTCATCGCTTAAAGGACGTGGACAATAACGGTAAGAGCTCGCGTGATCTGTTTTCATCAGTGGGTCTAGAAAGCTGACCTGGTTTGCTACTTTAGATGGGGGGTTTTTCGTGTTTGGGGACTTGTCTGTCAAGCTCGAGGGAGATTTCCGTCTCAAATTTACTTTGTTCGAAATGCGGAAGTGAGTGAAGTCTTAGTGGAAGCAGAATTAAGGCAAGACAAGCGCTGACATGGATTTGCACCAGGGAAAATGTGGCCTGCTTGAAGTACATCGTTTCAGATCGTTTTACTGGTAAAATGATGATGACCCTGGGAATGAAGCAGTCCCAAGATACTGACGATTGACAGTATCACCACCCAAGAGCTTCCCGGGTATGGGAGAGTCGACATTCTTGTCTAGGTCTTTCGCAGACCAGGGTGTGAAGTTAAGAATACGCAAAGAACCCCGAGCGCTCATGTAAGTGAAAGCTGGGAAGGACAATCAATGTATAAGAAAAACCAGCGCTGATTGCGTGACCAGGAAACGGCCAGTTCCACGACCTGAGGAGTATCCCCAGCCTCTCCCTCCTCGCTCACCTGATCGCTCGTCTATTTCAATGCCAGGGAATGCATTTGCCGGCTATCCAAGTCGAGATTACTCGTACATGCAGCCGGCACCGGCCAAGCGTCAGCGTACTTCTTCGATTGACTATGGCACGTATCCGCAGACTGCAACCATGTACCCGAATCAGCCGGGAGCATATCAAACGCCGATCCTACAGAGCTACAACCCAGGAGTAACAGATTTTCGTCAAGGGGGGCCTGCTGCTATAACTCCGTCACCATACGGCTCTCCAGAGGAATCTATGCTGGGAGTGAGACCTGGTTCCAGATATGTGCAACCTTCTTACCCTGCTTTTACCGACGCATATGGTCTCCCATCTGCACAAGTTCCCACGTTGCCGGACCGGTCTAGTCATCAAGCTACTATGCAATCTTTGGGAATGCAGCCAGGCACACCGGTATGGACCTTCTACAAATGTCTAGTGAGCTCTTGGAGGTCGAAGACAGCTAACTCTTGATCAGACCGCAGATCCCACGGCAGCAATACTGCCTCAGAGTTATGCTCGACCACAGTATCAACCAAACACCTTACCTCCATTGAGCCGCCTTCCTCAAACCACGAACGGTGGGGCTGCACGAGGGTACTTTGAGCAACCGCCCCATGGAACCACCCCTATTCTTCCCTCACAACAGCCCATTGCTACAAATGAAGAACGGTATAGTGCTGTGCCAGGTGCAACAGGCTTTGAACCTCCTGGTTCATCCAATGGAACGCCCCGATGAGAATGCGGCCAATAATGGCATAGGGAACGTTCTTTTGCTATGCTTTTTCTTTCTTTTTTTTTTTTTTTTTTTTTTTTTTTTTTTT